TAAGCCATGGTCGATTTTAACACTTCCCTGCCTATTTGGGTTTGTATCAAACCATCGACACTTAAACATGATCACTTGGTATCGGTCTTTGTAAAGCAATTGCACGACCGTTGTCAGTTTGCCATAGAAATCAATGTCCGTACTTTCGCCTCCACCTGGGACATGGACACCGCTGTTTTGCGTACACAACTTGTCATCTCATGCAGCCCCTAAAAACTTGATGCCGTTAACATGGCAACCCGAGAACAATTCAGCCCGAATCGGGCCGAACGCCAAGTTATATAACTCTTCACTGTAAGTGGGGGAATTCGATAATTTCAACTTGTTGACCTAATATTATACAAAAATATTCACATGTTAATTTGAGAACATTAAATAATACAATATATATCTCAATTACAAAACACTTTTAACTTACAGTTTCCAAAAACCATTGTGGAAACAATTCACGGTGTTTCGTGGCATACAAATGTGATGGATGTTCTCGCTTCATCATCTCTTCATGCTCATCTAAGTATGCCATTATCTCATCACAATTGTTCAGTACGAACCAATGTGCTACCTGCATGTCATTTATGGAAAACGACTCTCCTCGTACAGGATCTCCAAATGGTCGTGCTCTTTGGGCAAAAACAGAAAGTTTCTCATTTCTCACACCTCCGTCATTATTGCGTTGAGGACGATTGAAAGCTGTGTCCACATCTTGTAAATACATTCCACAAAAAGTAAGCGACTCATATTGAACCCAAGCCTCTATAATTGAACCTTGGGGTTTTGCCCTGTTGCCTACAGTTTTTTTCAGCTCTCCAAGCAGTCTGCGAAAATAAAACAATATAATACAAATTATGAGGATAATATACCTTTCAATTGGATAATGATGCATAAACAAATGATGAGGATTACATACCTTTCTATTGGATACATCCAACGATAGTTGAGAGGACCAGCAAGCAATGCCTCTTCTGGCAAATGAACCATCACGTGGATCATACTTGTGAAAAAAGCTGGAGGGAATATCATCTCAAACTTGCATAGGACTTGGACAATGTCATGGCGCAATTGATGCATGTCCGTCTTTCGCAATGTTTTTGCCATCAGTTGGGAAAAAAATCTGGACAACAACATGATCGGCTTCACTACATCTTCCGACAATAGATGTCGAATACCCACAGGAAGTAACCGTTGCATAAACACATGGCAATCATGGCTCTTAAGTCCAGTAAATTTACCCCCGTCAACATTCACGCAATGCGCGATATTAGAAGCATACCCATCGGGAAACTTTAACGACGATACAAACTTTAGAAATTCTTTTTTGTCATTCAGTTTCATGGAAAAAAATGCCAGATCCCTTCTAGCTTTATCACCGTCCCTGTTCATCCATAAACCTCTTCGTATGCCCATTTTTTTCAAATCAAGACGAGCTTTGATCGTGTCCTTTGTCTTGCCCTCGATGTCTAGA